ATTTAGATTAAATCATATTGACAGTTAGTACTGTTTTATTATTACACTATCTTCAGTAAATTTTAAAATACTAGAGAAGAGAGCATTTATAATTTATCTCCTGTTAAAAGGCTTGATTTTATAGTGCTTTTATTGAGAAGCCAGTGATAAAGCTGGGCGGGATTTCTTTCAAGTCACCTGCCAAATACGTTCTTAACCCCTTCTTCCAAGAAATCTTAAAAGTATCGTTAATACCAGAATCCATTTAAGCTTTTATGACTCAGAGGCCAAAAATGCATGTTATTGAAATATATAACATTACCTTAGGCACAGCTATAGGTAGGTGAATAGAAAAGATAGAGGGACATTTTGGAAATTTATGATAGCTTCTTCAGTTTTCTCAAGTGGGAATCCGGTCATAATTTGAGGATGATGCTGTGGGTAGAAGCTTTGGAGGTTTGGGGATTGGGAGAGTGAATGGACTAGTGAAATATACGATTGCCAGACAATTAAACATCATGCTGAGGTATGGAAAGTCCAGAAGAGGAAATACAGGGTGCTGTATATGGGTGCACAAAATAAAGATGTTTAATTGAATTTTGTGTGCAAGGTATTTCACAACCCATCTCCATTGCCTGTCTTTACAGTGTCATCTGGAGCATATACCTGCACCCTTAGCCCCAAAACACTTTGCCTGTGCCTCTGCCATATCATAGGTATCCCTGTTCTTTATACAAGTTAAGCTCTTTTGGGATCTAGCTTTTCCACTCCTTTTTCCCTCTGGAATTTCCATTTCATTAAAAATTCCCTCAGTCACTTAACACATTATATAAAAATTACCTATCTGTAGAGTCAGTGACAGTGTCTAACATATTATTATTTTTCATTATGTTAGTACATAAATCCCTCAGTAAATGTTAAATGAATGTGCCGCTTTTCTTCTTCCTTTGATCCATAACAGGGGTCAGCAGACTTTTTCTGTGAAGATTAGACGGTAAATATTTTAGGTTTTGCAGACTATATATTCTCTGTTTCAATTACTTAACTCTGCTGTTGTAGCACAAAAGCAGTCATAGATGATATGAAAACTAGTGAACATGGCTATGTTCCAATAACTATTTGAATTTCATATTATTATTATTTTTTTTACCAACGATTAAAAAATGTGAAAAATATTCTTAACTCAGGGGCTGTACAAAGGCTGGATTTAGCCCACACTTCTTCCATTGTAGTTTGCTAACCTTTGATCCATAAGGACTCTCAGCAAGCTTTGACAAAGGAATATGCAGTAAGATGATATGTTATAATACTACCATTGGTGATAGAGTAGCAAAGATAAATAAAGCAGTCTTTTTTTATCAAGGATCTCATGGTGAAGTTCAAGATTAAGATATGTAAACAAGGAATGATGGCATAGTATGGTAACTACAATTACACTTTATCGAATATAGATGTAGGACAAAGGAGTGATAACCAGCTCTGCTTGCGAGGACCAGAAGTAACCTATAACAGTCATCTATTGGAGATAAGAAACATTTTCAGCTAAGAACTTTTCTGAGAATCAAACTTGCTAAGGTGACTGACCATATCTCTTACTGGAAGGCTATGTATATCAGGATGACTCTATTTTATAGAATATAATCCGAATTAATTTCTCTCAGAAATTAATACATTTCAAATGATTTTTCTCTAACAATTATTTCTAAAGGTCTTGTACGTTTTTTATTGCTTTGAAAAGCATTTAATGTAGTAATATTTTTAAAAAGAAATAAATTTTTGATATTGAATTTTGTATTATGTAACGCGTAGTCTTTATTTAAGTGGGCTTTCAATTTTTTTGCAATTTATTAGATTTAGTATGAATTATTTTTATCTAGGAAATTAGGAAAGTTAAATATTTGATTAATTCTTTAAAGATATCAGATATTTAAAAATTAACTAATTATTTAAAGCTCTTCAACAAACTTAATGCATTCCCCAGTTATGCTGTGCAGCAACGGAATGTAACTTAAAAAAATTTTTTTATTTTTAATTTCGTACCCTTATTTCTGGTCTTTGTCATTGCTTTTTAGTAGTGAAAAGGTGGCAAACTCACTGTTGGGTGGTAATTATAATTCTGGTTACCTCTTGTTTCACATACTACTGTTTATTTTCCAGGGTCTTCAAATTGCCGTTCCATGTGTTCTGTCCAGGTAGGAGAGACAGCTTGGAATATGCTTAACTCCATCTAACTTGAGACTGAAACATCTGTCTCTTCATTTTTGCAATTAAAAATGGTATGTGCTTGACTGTATGGTTGCAGGTGTTTGTTTTTTTTTTTTTCCCCCTCTGCTTTACTAGACTGATCCAGAAAACATGGCTACTGCAATTAGGGAGGTGGGAGTTTGGAGACAGACCAGAACACTCCTACTGAAAAATTACCTAATTAAATGCAGGACTAAAAAAAGTAGTGTTCAGGTAAGTTAAATGCCTTTCTTATGCCTCATTGAGGTTTATTCTGTGTTCCATTTTTAAGAGATATTTATTTTGCTGGATAAATTTTTATTATAATTTTATATTTTTAGGTCCTTTTAATTTCCTTGTGAAGTAAAAACTTGTGGTAGCCACAGAAAAGTACTCATATTACCTGTTTTCTAAATGTTAAAAATATTAAAGATTTCTAAATTTAGTTAATTTCTGATATCAGTGCTTAATTTTGAATTTTTAGGCATGCATTTCCCAAGTTTCATGAAATGAAAAATATATTTCATAGACAACTTTGTAGAACATTATTCCATAGTTTAGTCTTTATGACTTCTCATCTTTTGGATTCTGGATTGAATTGTCTAGGATTACCAAAATTATGTCATATATTTGTTCCCATAAGTATACATTACTTTAAAAGATAAAAGAAAGTGAGACCTCTGGTTAAATAGTTAATAATCATTTTAAAGGATGAAAATATATCATTCATTTTCTTAAACCAGCAGAACAATTGAACAGCAAGATGAAATAATAGATAGTTCATCCCTATTAAAGTGGACTATTGAATTTAACTGAGTAGTTTTAATAGTAGAAATTTAGGTCTGTTTAAATCATGAGTTTTAATTTAGAATTGAATAAAGACAGTTTTATGGTGATACCTATTAGGAATGTTTGGTAAGTTACTTTAAAGTTACATATGAATAAATTTATTCTATTTTACATTAGTAATTAGTAATGTTTAAATACTACTTTCTATGTCATTTATTTAATTATATGTCTTGAATTTTAAAATACTTCAGTAAATTTGAATATAAAGAAAAATTATATGGTATGCCTGTCAGGTTAGGTGAAATGTTCAGCACAGTATAGCTTTTACTTCTTGGAAGGCAGCTGTGCTCACCACTATACCACCAACGCCAGCTTGTTTTTACTCTTTGTACTTAAGAAAACAGCCAAATGTCTCATGTTTTTTCTTAGTGTTAATTATGTTATTTGGATAGAAATCTTGCTGAATTTTGCTGCTATTATACTATATAATCATTTTGTTTCCTTTATTATAGGAAGTTCTTTTTCCACTATTTTTTTTATTTTGGTTAATATTAATTAGCATGATGCATCCAAATAAGAAATATGAAGAAGTGCCTGATATGGAGCTTAACCCTATGGACAAATCTATCCTCTCTAACCTAATTCTCGGATATACTCCAGTGACTAACATTACAAGAAACATCATGCAGAAGGTTTCTACTGATCACCTTCCTGATGGTATTGTGAGCTTACATATGTATTCTATCTGTGACGGAAAGCCTTGTCAATATTTTTCCGCTTGCTTTATTAATATTCTTAACACTTAGAGATTTGTCCCTTCACCAATGTATACTTTTATAAAAATATTAAAATCATTCAATTCTGCTGCCTTTTAGTTTTTGTAACACTAATGTGTTTATATTCTTGGTAATAGAAAGCATATTTTATGTGTTTTAATATTTTATATTAAATTTTTAGGCCATTTATAAAATAAGTATATTTGTACAGGATAAAAGAGTTGAAGGACTGTTTCGTTTTGATTCTGACTTGTATAATAAGAAGCTAGAACTACATGATAAAGATTATAAAGCAGTAATCTTTTAAGATTGACATGCCTGTTGATGGAGGCGTATGGTATAAACTGAAGAAGTACTTAGCTTTGGAGACTGACTATGGCTAAGTACCTAAGTCTGTTTTTCTCAGTTAGTACTTCTCACAAAGAAATAGATTAGAAAACAGTGTAAGTAACGAGGTACTTTTGAGTCTAAAGTGGCTGTGAGAGACCTTAAGGCAAGAACTGGAGAAAGTGACAGCAATGTTCACACTGATGATTGATTAAATGAAATGCTAGATTTTTAGAAAATAACAGATTAACATGTTTTATATTGGATAGTTATAATTACCTTCATTAATTAATATGTATCATCACATTATTGGATAATGTGTCATTGAATAGAAGATGTTCATATAATTGGAAACCAAATAAATAACTTATTCCCCCTTGGTTTCTTTCTGGCTTATTGCTATTTAATATTTTTATCAAACACATATATTACTGGTATATAACATGTTTGTTGGTTTATCGTATTAAGCACAAGTAGTGTGGATATCTATAAGAATTTAGCATGCCAGCTCAAAAAACTGATCAGAAATGTTGAGAACAAAACGCATTGGTAATTCTAAGGAGAAAAGCATATGCAGCAAAGAAATCCAAGTCAGTGTATATTAACTTAGATGCCAAAATAGTAGAAAAATATCTAGTTTTTTTTAGGTTCTGTCTTTTTAACAACAAAACAATCTGAAAATGAGATACACATGCATACATAGTAACCTGACTGGGAGTTTGTTGAACTAATACGCTTTTTATTCATATCAATCCTGGACCCCATGTTCACCTTAAAAGTCTGGAAAATCATGATAATTAATATTTAAGTATACTTTATAATTTACAAAGCATTTTCTTATTTGTAACTACATTTGATCTTAACCCAGTGTGATCAGGTAGGTGTTGTAGATGAGGATACTGAAGTTCAGAGAATTTATTGTTTACCTGTGCTCACACAGCTAATAAGTAAAAAAGTTAAGTTCTAATCCTATGTTCTTTCCATTTCACCACATGTTCTGGAGCTTCTGTAGTGAAAACTAGTTGCTTGTAAATAAAACTTCAAGAAAATATTTAAAACTTAGGATTACTGATGTGAAGGGACCAAAATGATGATTACAGTATAGGTTCTCCATAGAGGACCTATAGAAGGAACAAGCAATATTGGGTTTAAGTGGCAATTTTTATTCAAAGAAGAGTTGCATAACAGTTACTAAAATACATATTTAGTGCCTGAAAAGGGTTATGGGATTTTCTTCGTAAGAAGAAATATTTGAAAATAAAATATCCATGCATTTATCAAGGAGTTTTTTATATAGTTTTACTTTGAGATAGATAAGTGAACTTCATATAGTGCACATAAGTATATATTCTACTTTATCATTAATAACATGTATTACACTGACACAATTTATGTACTCAAATGACAGTTAAGAAATAGTGTCTGTAAAATTGTACTATTATTATTTTTTAGTATTTTTAGAAAGTCTATTCATTTTCTAAGCTAGAGCGTAAAACAAAAGTTCTAGTAAAATATGTTCATCAAATACAATGGTAAATTTGATTCATTATAGTAAAATATTTTGTGAGTTAACTATATTGTTATAATATTTTATAGTTATAATTACTGAAGAATATGCAGATGAAAAAGAATTGCTAGCATCCAGTCTTTCCAAGTTCAGCAACTTCGTAGGTGTGGTTTTCAAAGACTTCATGTCCTACGAACTTCGTTTTTTTCCTGATATGATTCCAGTATCTTTTGTTTATATGGATTCAAGAGGTAAATAGCACTATATAATTATTGAAATTCAGTTAAATCCATGCTTTTGCTGCTCTTAGTTCATATGTAAAATTTAGTGGGGTCAAACATTGGCATTTTTGATTATGCTTATTTGTTCAAATAAGAAACTGTCCAATGTAGCATAAAAATATATATAGGTATAGTCAAATAACTACCTCTATATCTATATAAAATATAATTTCACATCCATTTTTATTTTAATACATTTATATAATATAAATTACAACAACAAAATGAAAATGTATCTTGAATTGTATGACTTTCTAAATCCTTTTTTCTCCATGTAATTGTTTTCGCATATGATACATTACATGTCTTTAAAACCTCAAGATTTTCCATCAGCGAACTTTATTAGTTTTATGTTTGAAACTTGTAAAACAGCCTTCAAATCTTAAACCTGTGTAAAGATATTATCAACCACAAACATTTGTTGAGCAATGTCAAAATAATTACTGAATATGTAATAAGTACTGAATATGTGACTTGATTCCAAAAAGCCCTTATAGAAATTTTTTTTCCTGTTCTCTTAAGCTGAACTTGTCCTTGCATCTGGAAGTGCTTTGAAGCTGATAAGTCATTGTAGAATGACTTACCTTAAAACAGAAAAGTGACTTATTTTAGATAACTGTTTATAACTATTTTTTTCTTTCCAGTTGTATTCATTTATCATTTAGTATCCTAACACATGTAACATTTTATTTCAAAAATTTCAAGTAAACATATAAGAATGTGGTAAGTATTGTTTGTCTTCACAGGGAAATTGCTTATTTTCTTTGGTCCTGTAGAGACTGATTAATCTTATTACTTTGGTAACCCTCCATATGTTATCTTTAGAGGAAGGCACTTGCAAGTCATGAAAAATCTTATGTCTCACATTTTTTCCCCATAGCTGGCTGTTCAAAATCATGTGAAGCTGCTCAGTACTGGTCCTCTGGGTTCACAGTTTTACAAGCATCCATAGATGCTGCCATTATACAGGTAAATATGGTAAAGGAGGGAACATAAGAACAAACTGTATTTTAACAAGTATGCCCTAAGTCTTTACAATAGGATTTGGTTTGACTGTTGTCAGATGTACAAAATACAAAACTTTTTATAGCTCTTTTAAGAAAAAAAAGTCATATCTTTATTATCTTAATCATAGTAGTAGATTTTTTTAACAAATACTTATCACTTATTTGCCAAACATTGTTTCTAAGTTATGTACTAATATTGACTCATTTAATCTTTAACAATCCTATGAGATTGGTGCTGTTACTATGTCCATTTTATGTGTGAAACTGAATCACAAAGTTAAATAACTTTCCAAAACTCAGTTAATTAAATAGCAAAACTGGTTCAAACAATGGCTTTTTGGTTCCCAAGCCTGTGTTTTAATACTATAATACATCTAGGATTGTGTGTAACTGTTACAGCTACATTCTAAAGACGTGCTCAAACCTGATCCAGTGTTTCATATTTTAGTAGAAATGAATATGAGACCTCAAACAGAAGACCTATCTCTGTTAGTTGTTAGACTACATAGTAAAATAACTACAGTAATAATGCTTTACTTGACAGCATTGTTATAAGAACCAAATGAGATGATTTATGTAGAATTGTTGTTTTTTTTTTGACCCCCTTTACCCTGTCTACCTCCCCCCTCTAGAATTGTCTTACAAACTCTTACAACATGGTATAAACATATTATGAGTATATAATATTATGTAAATGCACTAATACAGAAGTCCAAGGTAAAGACAGTGAAATATCGGATATATCACATTGATTGTGTTTTAGTACTTGTTTGTGTTTCAGCTGAAGACCTTAGCCATCTGCAACCCAGACCAGTGACTGGATGAATAGGCAGAGCGGATCTCATTTTAGACTTTCAGTTGAATGTTAGATAGAAGTAACATATGGCATAGTTTTATTATTCTATCTATATGTGCTGTGTATATAAATTTTAAAACAATAGAAGGATATACTATTTACTTAATTATACTGTTTAAGAGGATATTTTTAAAGTCATTCTTCATGATACTAATAATCATTCCGTAATTCCTCAATTTTATAAATGCATATTTTGTCTGGTTAAGATGCTAACTGTGCAATTTTACTTCCTCTGACAAATTATTTTGTCAAAATAAGTATATACTTCTCAACTTCATACTTTAAACTTTATGGTCTGCTTCCAGAATGAATAAAAGCAACATTCTACTCTATCATGATATTGGGGTCAGTCATTTTATTGCAGGTGTGTAGATTCTTGAGCAATGTATTTGTACTAGGTCATTGGCTAAACTTTTGTCACACTTTATTAGGGGCTGTGATCAGAATTAAATTATTCGAATGTATTTACATTTTTTAATTACAGTTGAAGACCAATATTTCTCTGTGGAAGGAGCTGGAGTCAACTAAAGCTGTTATTATGGGAGAAACTGCTGTTGTAGAAATTGATACCTTTCCCCGAGGAGTAATTTTAATATACTTGGTTATAGCATTTTCACCCTTTGGATACTTTTTGGCAATTCATATTGTGGCAGAAAAAGAGAAAAAATTAAAAGAGTTTTTAAAGATAATGGGACTTCATGACACTGCCTTTTGGTAAGTTATAAGTTCATTATTCAGTATGATTAATAATTAAATATACAAATCTTCAGAATTGTAATTTTGCTATTCACTTGACTTGGTAATAGAGATACTGTTTTCTTACAGTGATTGTCTTGGAATTTGAGACTAGTAAACAAGCTTCAGCAATTGATTGCAATTATTTTAACAGAGCAAAGTGGATTCAGAAAGCATGTTGACATGTTTCAATTTTATTTCACATTTTGTTTGAATCAAAGTGTGCTCCATGTAGTTCAGTATATTTTTTAGTGTATAGAATATATGAGATCTTGGAAAGTTAGAAAATAATTGCCTGTTATAGTCTTCCAGTATCATAGCATATACATGTTATTAAAAATTGAGTTAAAAGTGATTGAAGTTTGTGTATGTAGTATATGGGCTTTTTTTCCCTAGAAAAAATTATTTGTGTGAATTAAGATGAAAATATACAAATAATTCATAGAGAAACAAATGAAAACAAATGTTTTCACAAGTGAGCTTTAACCTATCAGAATTTTTGTACAGTGATAATTTTATAGAGGTGTGCATTTGTCTAAGCAACTCTTAAATGTATTTTTCTTAATTTTCCCACTGTGTTGTAAGAAAATGTATTTTGACCTCATTTTCGGAGAAAAGTTAGTACACTTAGGGAGAAAAGTAAATAAACATGTGAGTTGGTATTATAGTCCCATTTTATAAATTTTTTAATAATTATATATATTTAAATTTATTAGGGTGACATCGGTTAATAAAATTTTGTAAGTTTCAAGTGTACAGTTCAATAACGCGTAATGTGTATATTGCTTAGTGTGTTCACCCAAAGTTAAATTAGTCCAATGCAACAATTAATTATAACACTTTACCTAAGGGGGATCATTGTATATAACATGTTTTCTTTGCTTCTTTTTTTTTCTTCTGTCATTTTAGTAGTGATTGATTTTTAAATGCACTGGGTTCTTAAAGTATTTTGTGAGGAAACAGTAGTTCGAAGCGCCTCAGTTTTGCCTTTGTAAAATGAATTCAATTTTCGTAACTTAGGCATCCTTTAGCCCTATTTTAGTGATTTTATGATAGTATATATTAAAGCATGATCCACTAACTTGAAAAATGAAGATAAAATGAAACTAAATACTGTAGCATTTCCATTGACCTGATTTGAGGGGAAATTTTGAGTTATAAATATAGGGAACCCATTGTTGATGTTTTGATCTCATATGTGTAAACATGTTGTAATTATGTTGTTGATTAGTGAGATAGCCTTTATTGTTTAAAGTACCATAAGCCATCAGGGGTTTAATTGTACTACATGCCATAAAGAAAATTGTCATTAAGTTCTTTTGTATTTTAGGAAAATCAGAAGTGTTATGTATTATTGAACTTTTGAAAGTATCAGATTTAAATTAATCATGAATTGCTATTAATTTATAAAGTTTTTTTTGACTCTTGGAAAGATAATTACCATTTTATCTTTATATCAGAGTGTACTTTACCTATAACTTAACTGATACTGTATTTTTAATTACTTATAAGAACACGAATTTTCAATATATGAACATATACAGAAATGAATAGATTGACCTAATTTTGAGAATAAAATGGCTGAAATAAATCGAAAGTTTTGTTTAAAATGCTTTTTTGTTAACTGTGAAAGCCTATGCATTTAATCATAAATGTATTTGCATTCTCATTTTAGGCTTTCCTGGGTTCTTCTGTATACCAGTTTGATTTTTCTTATGTCTCTTCTCATGGCAGTCATTGCAACAGCTTCTTCGTTATTCCCTCGAAGTAGTTGCATAGTGATATTTCTACTTTTTTTCCTGTATGGGTTATCATCTGTAAGTATTTTAACTTAAAATGAGAATGAAGAACTGTAAAAATATTTGATTAATATAACAAAGTCTTATTCTTTGGTTTACTTATAGTCAATTTCTCAGGAAGAACAGATTGTTGTTAGGTTACTGATATTAAATGACTTACATATAGTATCATTGTACTTCCATATTTTTAGGAAAGGTACAAAATAGTCTCAGATTTAAATTTAACTTGTTTTCATATGCTGCATTTCACATATAATTCCTCTGAGTCTCTCTTTTACTATCTTCATATAATTGTGTGTATTTAAGATTGTGCAGTACTGGACTTTTTATTCCTTTGTTTTCATGAAATCCTGACTATTTCAAGTTAATTTATATTTCAGGATGATGATGTGTAAAGATGTGTCTTTGCAAATACAACTCTTTGGTAAATTGGCTGAATGCTGGCTTTTAATGACCAGCCTTTGTTTTAAGTGGTTTCAGTTTCTGTTCTAATTGGTTTATGTGCTGTTGCTGTACCAGTTGTTAAATATTTTGACTATCACCCCTGCTCTTTAACATAATTTATATATAACTCATATACTTCTTTATATAATTGCCTGGTTTTTAACTGGTTTTATTTCTTATTAACACGTGAACTTTAATGGTTCTGTATTTAAAAGCTTGTTGATTTATTGTTTTGTTCATCTGTGTACACATCTAACTGCAGAAATGCATGGCTTTTTATGGTTTTTGTAGTGTAGAGGTGATCATGTTTGTCTATTATATAGATAATATGCAGTTTTTAATATTTGTCAGTGTATATTTAAAAATGTATATACTGTTTCTATGAAAATAAAATATCTTACCATAACATTTAGAAACTAATTGTATTTTAATAAATGTATTTTCCAATGGAAATAACTTAGTTCTTTCACAGGCAAAATTTAATTTTGTTTCCATAATTTTTCACAATTTTGTTTTCATAATTTTGACTATGTGAACAGTGTATTAACCTTAATATTTTTATTTTGTAGGTATTTTTTGCTTTAATGCTGACACCTCTATTTAAAAAGTCAAAACATGTAGGAATAGTGGAATTTTTAGTTACTGTGGCTTTTGGATTTGTTGGCCTTTTGATAGTCCTCCTGGAAAGTTTTCCCAAATCATTAGTGTGGCTTTTAAGTCCCTTCTGTCAATGTACTTTTTTGATTGGTATTGCACAGGTAGGTTATATATTTATTTCTCTTTCACTAAATATGTTTTTCCTCTCTAGTCTGTGTAACATGTTATACCACCATGAATACTCCCTATGATTTGCAAAAAAATTAAAATGTATAAATAAATAAATTTCAACATGAGAAAGGAATGATATTTGAATACTGGCATACATTTTATGTTGGTTTCATTTATATTTTCTCCATTTTCAAGTTTTTCATTTATATTATCTGTTTTTAAGTTTTCCACTTCCCACTTTAGTATACCTTAGCAGTCTGTTTCACTGCAGTAACTCAATTTGTTAGAAATCATTGGTTTAAGCATCCGGTAATATCGATTGCCTGGTTACATTGTGACTTATTGTACATTTATCTCAATTTTGTGCCTGAGAGGAAATTATGTGTGAAGCAGAACAAATTTTTTGTGACCGTAGTAGAGAAATAAATAGACCTGGTGGATTTTGTTGGTCCGGGATTCATGCGATTGTCATTCAACCTCGATAATATTTAGATTTATGAATTTGATTTTTATTAGTCTTTACAGGGGCTATCAGTTTCTAAGGGAAAAATTCTTGTAAGAAACTGCTTTATGTAACAACATACATTTGCTTAATGTGTAAAGAAAGAAATGTAACTACGTAATATAAGAGATTATTCCTGTTGGCCGGATAGTATATTCTAATTTGTGAGACTTAAGATAGATTGTTTGTAAATATTGAGTTAAACAAATTTTAATTACTTGAGACCTGAGAGCTGTTGTTACACATTTTGGGAGTCCACTGATTTCCCTTCGCTTAGGAAGTTAGAATTAAAGATTTTTCTTGTGAGTGGAAAAGACTTTCAGTGTCATTTAATTCATCTTAGTTTTTAAATGAGGAGACTGAAATCCAAAATGGTGTAATGAAAGTTTACTCACTTAATGGCAGATCTGGGACATAAATGAGATGTCAACCTCTAGTACATTTCTTTTTGCACTATCACATAAACCTACTGTGAATCATTTATGTTAGTAAGTGTGAATTATAGTACCTTCTTCCTTTTCAGTATTGGAAAGATGCTGACCATAATTTTATCTTTTAATGCTTAATTTGTTTGACTTCTGTGTGGACCGTAACTCTTTTGTTTGCATTAGTTTGCATTAGTTAGAGTTAACATTATACTGGATTTCAGTTGATAGGCATAGCATTAGGATTAAATGCCCCAGGAGTGAATGTATACTAGTTTTAGAAGCACAGCATTAAAAACATGATTGGAAAGGATTGTCATGATAAACTTATAGTTTGGTAAAGTTCTTATTGTTTTTTTTTTATAAATTCACATTATTTGGTAGACCGTCTAAATCTGTTCAAAAGGCCCAGTTTGGTTATGGTCATTTTTGAGTAAGTGGTGTTAGCTTTTGCTGATGTTTATCATTTTTATATAATAAAGTTGGTATTTCTGTTTTTCAGGTCATGCATTTGGAAGATTTTAATGAAGGTGCTTTATTTTCTAACTTGACCGAAGGCCCATATCCTCTAATTATTACTATCATCATGCTAGCACTAAATAGTATATTCTATGTCCTCTTGGCTGTTTATCTTGATCAAGTCATTCCAGGTATGCAGGTAGTTACTGGATTTACTTTAAAGATTTTTAGTTTTTTTGTCCACATAGGGTCAACTTAATTTTCCTTTTTTTTTTTTCTAGCTGGAGTACCCAAGTCTTATTAAAGCTTTTAATTTAATTTTAAATAAGTATATTTCGTACCTTTTGTCTTAACTAGTGAACACAAAGAGGCAGGGTAAAAAGAGAGCAGTTTGTTTCGAAAGGCTTAAGGCCCTAACTGAACTTCTTAGCTCAGACCTTCCCTATATCAGTCGTTTTCAGCTAAAGTGTTTCATGATTTTACCCTTTAAGTTCCGGCACTATGAAGCAATATTGTATCTGCTACCATTCCCTTATCTCCTATCCTGCGTCCATAGCAACTTTCTGTAGATTTAAAATATGAAATATCCAGTACCCATTTTCTCCTTGAGTTCCTCATTACTTCTGTTTGTGTTCTTTACCTGCACTGTTTTATATTTCAACCACTAGACACGTACGGCTTTTAAAATTTAAATTAATCAGAATTACATGAGTTAACAAGTCATTTCCTCAGTAGCACAAACCACATTCCAGGTGCTCAGTAGCTCCATATGGCTGTACATATGCTACAGTACAGATATAGGACATTCCCATCATTGCAGAAAGTTGTGTTGGGCAGCATTAGTCTAGACCATTACAAAACCTGTCATCTAATTAAGTACCTACCTCAGATCTGTCATTCTCTTTAATCAAGTTAATCACCTGCTCAACTGGTGGGCATATCCTGGCAAATTACGTAGAAACTCATAGTAATATCCTTCATAGTACTTTTACATATTTAATCTTTTCTTATCATTCTCCCCTCTTTACTGTATTTAATATTCATTGGTACAGTTCTGTACCTATTTAACATATTTTCAGCGTACGAGGTAGATTGTTTTTAGCTACTTGTAACAGAAAATCTTTCTAATTGGCTTAAACAAGAAGGGAATCAACTGTTTTACTTAAAAGGAAGTCCACAGATAGATTGGGCTTTAAGTTGGTTGATGTGCTCAACTGGGTCATCAGGGACCTACTTTCTCTATGCTTTTGCCATCTATTATCTCAGAGTCTGGCAGATTTGCTCTCCTCATGGCTGCAGGGTGTTATTATGCGTCTTTGTTCATGTCCAGTTAGAGGGAAGGGGGACCTTTTCCTGAACTAAGCCCTTTGTTTCTGTTTGCTTGGTTATTTGCTTATAGCTGAAGCAATACTGTCACCCACGCATCCCAAAGACTAATTAGATCAGTTAGAATCTATGAAATTGGGATAAGATCCCTTGAAACATGTGACCATCTAGGAGAGGAGTGGGTATTAAAAAATGGAGAGCGTCTTTTTTTCCAGAGGAAGAAGGGAAAATGGGTACATGTTATGTGGGCAATGATTGCTGTCTACCATATCTAAGTCTCCTATATCTGTCCCGTTTCTGTGTTACTATCCTAATTCTAAAAAGTCTTTTCTATCAACTATTTTCATTTTTCTAAATACTGCCTATTTTTAAAGACTATCTAACATGATATTCATTCTTGCCTTCAGGATATCTCCCCATCCAGATAGAAACTTTTCTGAACTCTTACTAGTATTAAGCATGACGTGCCTCATGTTCTGTTTTGTGTTTTAGCCACTTGGTATATGTGCGTAGTCATAAATATGTAAGTTCTTTTAGGGCAGAAAACGTGCTTTACTCACCTTCACATTCCTGTGCACTCTCAGCAACTATGCAACTATTTATGGACTGAGTTATTTGTCAATAAAACATTTTTTTATACAATATTCATTTAGAATTTTATGTCTAAACTTTAGATCTAGGTTATATGTTTCTCATACTGCCTTTATTATTTAAAAACTCATTTTCAGAAATAATTTTTTATGATAACTAGTTTTTTTTTTAAATTTTCAGGGGAATTTGGCTTACGGAGATCATCTTTATATTTTCTGAAGCCATCATATTGGTCCAAGAACAAAAGAAATTATAAGGAGTTATCAGAGGGCAATGTTAATGGGAATATAAGTTTTAGTGAAATTGTTGAGCCTGTTTCTTCAGAATTTGTAGGAAAAGAAGCCATAAGGTATGATTTAATCTTTGACAATTTAGATATAAGAACTGCTGATGGAATATGCCACATTTAAATCCTGTCTTTTAAATGATGTATGTGAGTATGATATCTTTGGAGATTTGATATACATTTCCTGACTTTTTAAACACAGTATTAAGGGCTACTTCTCTTTTACTTTCTTTGCAACCATTTAGAATAAGGTTGCTGCTAGGTTTGAAATTTTATGTTTCATTGAATCATTTTTGATAAAATCTAATGTTTACATAGGTGAGCTGTTTTAAACTTTCTCCATTGTGTAGATTAAAACAATAAATGTTAACTTTATAATTTTATTCAGGATACATTGTCTAAGTTATATAACACATTAAACTGTCCTCTATTAATTTTATAGAGCTTTAGGTATTGTGACACATAATTAGAATATCAGTTTAATTTTCTAAGAAATTAATCACTATTCCTTGTTAGGTCAGTCAAAATCAAATTTAAAGGTAATGAGAAAGAGAAAAGAAAAGTGAAAGAAAATGTGAAGTATAATTTGTTTTATAAATTTAAGAAAAATGTATAAAAACTAGGAAGGCCAGTGGTCTGCCTTCTCAACGGTAAAATTCAAACTTGTTATTAAAACCGTTACCTGTTTAAAAAATTATGTAAAACATTTAAAGCAGAATGAGAAAATCACTTCGCATTTATGGATAGTTTGAAATGTGTGCTAATGTGAAATAGTATTTTGTTTTTAATCTCCCTCAACTAATGTAACAAGTATTTTATTACTTGCAAACAGAAAAATATCAAAGATGAAAAGTAATCTATACATTGCTTGAGTCACATGCCTCACTTTGTTATTAGAAGTAGGCTGCTCATAAAAAATGAATGAATGACATTTAAAATGGAGAAGAATACTATATTTTTCTCTTGTACTTAAAAAAAATACTTTTATAATTATTGTCAGCTCTGTGGTTGTCTTTAAGGAAGGTACTTATTATTTCTATAAAATATGACACATTTGATAATATTATACATGGAAACACACACATTTATAAATTGCTTTAATTCTTAAAGTAGAAAATGGTGTTTTTCAGAATCAGTGGTATTCAGAAGACATACAGAAAGAAAGGTGAAAATGTGGAGGCTTTGAGAAGTAAGTAGCTCTCCTGGTATTCATTACATAGTATTAAAGTACAAATAGAAAAATAATTTGCATACTTCTTGGGGAATTTAAATTTATTCACCACAATTTTTTCTTTTTTTCTCTAGGGATACTTTCATTTATTTATGTGATAAGTATCCATGATAAAACCAGTGAAAGTAAAAAGTAATATCTATTAAAGTGAAAAATATTCAACTATTTGAACAAGTCTGCATCCTTTTTCATTTTAATATTATGCATGTGTATACATATTAGTTACTTTTTTTCTTTTGGCCTAACACAATTTCTCAACCTCAACACTACTGACATTTTGGGAGTGATCATTCTTTTTTGTGGGGGGCCATCCTGAGAATTGTAGAATGTATAGCAGTATGTCAGTCAGGGTTCTTCGGAACCAATAGACTGTATGTGTACATGTATACGCACATACATAGAGTGAGTGAGCAGGAGGGGAGGGGGCAGAAGGGAAGAGGGATTATCTTTAAGAAATTAGTTCACATGATTGTGGTGCCTGGCAGGCCTGAAATCTGTAGGGCAGGCTGGCAGCCTGGAAACTTAGCTAAGAGTGGAAATTGCAGTCTTGAGTCCAAAATTCATAGGGCCGTCAGGCAGGCTGAAAACTCGGGCAGATTTTAGAGGAAATCTGTGTGACAATATTGAGGCAAAATTCCTTTTTTGGAAAACCTCAGTTTTGGCTCTATCAACTGATTGGAAGAGGTTCACAGGTATTATTGTAAGTAATCTCCTTTACTTAAAGTCAGCTGATTGTAGATGTTAATCACATCTACAAAATATTTCACAGCAACATTTACTCTAGTGTTTGACCAAATAACTGGGTGTCATAGCTCTAGCTGTACTGGCATGTAAAATTAACCATCACAAGCAGCATCCCTGGTCTCTACCTGTTATACTCATAGCAGCCTCCCTCTTCCCCAGTTGTGACAGCCAACACTGACTTCAGGCCTTGTCAAATGTCCCCATAGGTGGGTGGGGCATGGAGGAGGAATATTAACCCCCCCTCCCCTTCTCGAGAACCATTTGCCTAACATATTGACTTTTCTAAATAGCTTTCATTTTATTATTTTCATTTTTTATTGACAAAAACTTTTTTAAAGTATTTTCATATTAAGGTGTGTAGGATCCATAGTGATCTCCCCATTTTTATTTCTGACATTTGTTATTTGTACTTTTTTCTTTTTTTAGCAGGAGTTTATCAGTTAAAGAAAAACTTTAAAGAACCAACTTTTAGCTTTGCTGACCCTCCCTATTATGTATTTGTTTTCTATTTTTTGAATTTTTTCTATTGTTTTCTTGTTTCTACTTCTACATTTAAATATTTTCCCCCTAAATTCTTGAGATAGATACGTAGGTCATTTTATAATGATGCATTTTAAATATATAAATTTTCATCTAAGCATGGCTTTGGCTGCAGCATACAAGTCGTGACAGGTTTTAAATATTTCTAATTTTAACTGATTTTTTTCTTTGTGTGAATTATTTATGTTTTGATTTTTAACTATATGGTGATTTATCTTTTTGTTTTAGATTTCTAACTTAATTCCTCTGTAGTCAGAGAACATAGTTTTATGATTCATTTTAGCCTTTTGAAATTTATTGAGATTTGTGCATGTTCTGTGTGTACTATATGAAACATATTCTGCAGTTGTTGTATATTGTATTTCATATCAGGTCAAGTTGGTTAATTTTGTTTTTGAAATCGTCTGTTTATTGATTTATTTTTTGTGGGAGTGTTTCTGTCGTTTATTGAGAGATAAAAATGAGAATCTTCAATTATGAATTTGTCTATTGTGATATTATGATTGTGAATTTGTCTGTTTTCTTTGTACTTCTGTCATTGTTTTCCTTTACATATTTTTCAGACCATGCAATTAGATATATAGAGGAGTTATATCTTCCTTTAGGCTAGTGAGTACATGATACAAGTTTTCCCACCCTTTTTCTTTTAGTCTGTTTTCGAAGGTGTCTCTAGTACATCTGTATAGTTATTGTAGTTTCAAAATCTGGTCTGAAAATCTTTTTCTTCTAATTGGAATATTTACTCTATTTGCATTTAATGAGATTATTTCTATATTTGAATTTTAATCCTCTATCTTATTACTTCGTTACTGGTTGTCTCACCTGTCCTATGTTTTTTTCTTTACCTCTTGCCTATTTGGTTGAACATTTTTAACTTTTTAATTTTCTTGCATTATAACTTACAGTTTTAGAATACACAGGTCTTAAAGGTACAGCTCAAATCTTTTACAGTTGTATGCAGCCCTATAACCACTACACAGGTAAAGAGAGAGAACATTTCTAGCATTCTAAAAGTTTTCTTATGTCCCTTTGCAATCAATACCATCCTCCCCCAGATATAGTCACTATTCTGAGCTCAATCACTGTGAATTAGTTTTTCCTATTCTTGAATTTTCTATCAGTGGAGTCATATAGAATGTTCTCTTTAATGTCTGACATCTTTCACTCAGTATTATGTCTAAGTAACTACTTTGAACAGCTTTCTAAAGTTGCTGCCCTTTTTCACTGTGACCAGTAATGTATGACAGTTCCAGTTGCTCCACATCCTCACCAACCTTTGATATTTTCAGTTCTTTTAACTTTAGCTATTCTGGTAACATATAATTAAATGTTAACATGGTTATAATTTGTATTTACCCAATATCAATAACTAATGCTGTTGATCTAAGATCTTTCTGTTGATTTTGATTTTCAGCAGTTTTACTGAAATATGGCTTGCTGGTTTGTTTGTTTGCAGTTACATTCTGCTTTGGTTGTATAGTGCTTCTTGAATCTGTATCTTGATGTCTATCTTCTGCTTTAGAAAATTCTCAGCCATTTTTTTCAATATTGCTTCTTTTTTCTTTTCTCTCTCTAGGTTTATTATATGCTACGACTTTTCATTTTATCCCATTTGTCTTTTATTCTTTTTCCTGAATTTTTATACATTTGTCTCTCTGTGCACTAGTCTAGGTATTTTCATGTGACTTCACTTGTTCTTCACTAATTTTTCTATAGTCATGTCTCATCTACTGATAAACTGTCTCTTGAAATCTTTTTCACTTATCTTTTAAGTTTTTGTTTTTCCCCTTAGTTCTTTTATATAGTTTTTGGTTCTTTTATATAGTTTTTAGTTCTTTGCCAACATTCTCTTGTGAACATGATAGCATAATGATTTTTAAATCTTGTTATATGGTGCCAACAACATCTACATCTCCTCTAGGTTTGTTTCTATAGCCTGTCTTTTCTATTGCTATTTGGTCTTATCTTTCTCCTGCCTGATTATTTTTGGCTGTGCGCTACATATTGTATATGAATAATTGTAGAGATTATTTGATGCCCTGGATAATGTAATTTTCCAGAGAGGATTTATTTTTACTTCTGGCCTGCAGCTGTAAAGATACTAAATCCTAGATCAACTTCATCAAATCAAGGGCTATGGTTATTTGAAGCTGGGTTTTCATATCCCTGTCTCTTGTCTTCCTTTAATCACTGACACATCAACCAATGATATTTCTTTATTCCATTTTTCTTTTATTTAAATTGAACCTTTTAAGCATTTACTTAGCCATTCCCATGCTGTTGATTAACTTCTAGTTTTTTGCCACTACATTTACCATGTCTATAAATACCCTTGGGAACAAACTTTTGTCTGTTTCTCTGTTTTAATTCCCTTGGAAATTCCTAAAAGTGGAATATTTTGGGAATTTTGTGCACTCTCTAAATCTGTTAGTGTAACAAAAAAACCCGTTTATATTTATTACTATTCTTATTGTTCATTCCACTGACTATAACAAAGAATTACTATTATGTCATAATACTAAATATAATGTTCTTAAGTATGCTAGTAATTTTAAATCTGACTTTAAATTTATTGATTTATTTGAAGATTGCTCAAGTATTATGAATTATCTTGTATAGCACAACAAAAATAAAAATTATATTTGAATCTTCTCCTTCCCTGAACTAGATTTGTCATTTGACATTTTTGAGGGTCAGATTACTGCACTACTTGGCCACAGTGGAACAGGAAAGAGTACACTGATGAATATTCTTTGTGGACTATGCCCACCTTCTGATGGTGAGAATTTTCTGACTTAAAAAATCTCCTACCTGTTTTATTGTTATTAACTAAAGTATCACAACATACCCTTGAAATATGTACTGATTGATTTTTGTCAATGACTTAGGACCAACTTCTGTGTCTATAAAGGTGTTTTTTCTTTTTTCGATTACACACATTTGTTTTTCAATAGAAAATAAATAACTCAATCATGTTAATTAAGTAAAAAGGAACTAATTTTGTACCTATTTTATCAGATATTTTGCATGTGTGTTTATTTTTTATTTTCAAGAAAGGATAAATCAATAATTAATTGAATATTAAATGAGACCTGTAGACATTTCAGGTAAGAAAATAGAGATTTCTATTTTCTCTATTTTCAGAAAGAAAGAATGATACTTGTCAATACTGTCATCTAAAATAAAATTTTAAGAACAGTACCTAAAACCTCAAACATATAATTGTTACATTGATTGCCCTGTAGGTGAGAATTCAGTGTGGCAATTTCATATTTCCACAATAACCAGACAGAGTGGCAGTATAATATTTTACTTTAAGAAAGGGCTGGATTTCTATGTTTTGAATCTACATTTTTTTAAATATAGTTTAACATTTAGAATTAGTTTGATTTTTTTGTTTGTTTGTTTATCCATAATTGTGTTACTCTTTGATGGTAGTTATCAGTATCTTAACATTTGTATAAGAATGTATGATTTTTGTTGTGGTTCTCATACCTTGCCACGTTGATTTAACAGTTCTTAAGTGGCATATATTAGTATTCAGTTTATGTAAGAGAAAAGCTGGAATTCAGATTAAGTGATTTTTTCAAGATCACACTCTAATTGAGAATATTTTTATCGTTGTTCTCTTCACTATTGCATAAGGCCTGGAAATGAAGGAAAATTGTTACTGAAATATAAGTGTAAATAATGCACGAGTTAGGCTTCTGGTTCCTTGCTCTTTCCACTATGTAATATGTCCTGAAAATGAGAGGAAATGAAGTTGGAATATAAGTGGAAGCAAATAACCAGTAGTATGGCAATGAGGGTGGGTTGTAGCTTCCAAATTTATGTTAATTCTTACCTTATATGTCTTATTACATACAAGTAACTGAATTATTAGTATGTATTAAAGCACGTAAACTTTTTAATACTTAATATATTTAATATAAATTTAAATATATATTTTGGTTTTAGGGTTTGCATCTATATATGGACACAATGTTTCAGAAATAGACGAAATGTTTGAAGCAAGAAAAATGATCGGAATTTGTCCACAGTTAGATATTCACTTTGATGTTTTGACAGTAGAAGAAAACTTATCCATTTTGGCTTCAATCAAAGGAATACCAGCTAATAATATAATACAAGAAGTATGTTATTCATATTGAAATCTTTATGTTTATTTCCTGTAAATTAATAGCCTTTTGTAATACCTTTTATAATAAAAATATGCTTGAAAATCTAAATATAAAACCTGTTCTGAGTCATTAAACAGGTAATCATTACAAAGAATTAGAAGTTTGAGTCAGAGTTTTTACACGTATAAAAATATCCTTGTTTCATCTGAAAGATACTAGTCTGTCAATATAGGTGTTTCTTTTCTTCCTTTCTTTTCACATTTCCCCTTCCCCCTCAACACACAGAGCCTTCACACTGATCTCTTCCCCACTCCCGAGGAAGTCCCACAAAAGTAAAACAGATCTTTCTATCAGGAATCTTTTTATCTCTTATTTAAAAATAATGTTTGAATATATGTCAAAATTAAATTCTTTACTAAAAGAACATTTTTAAAGTTGATATTAAAATTGGAACATTTAAGAACTAATATTGATGATTATGTAAATGGTGTGGTTTAAAAAATGACATTGTTCATGCTTTGCTTTTACAGGTGCAGAAGGTTTTACTGGATTTAGACATGCAAGCTATCAAAGATAATCAGGCTAAAAAGTTAAGCGGTGGTCAAAAGAGAAAACTGTCTTTAGGAATTGCTGTTCTTGGGAATCCAAAGGTAAACAAATAGTGTCACCGATGAGATAATTTTAAATTATGTTGAATAAAAAACAGGTTGTAGAAAGATATATGTACACACATTTTGTAAACTCTAAACATACATAAAACACTATATGTTGTGTTTTATAATAGTAAATAGTAAATAGTAAGGTTTCAAAACTGAAGTTAGAAAGGTAACATCTTTCTGAGAGCAGTCATCTCTAGGAAGAGTGGAAAGGACAACCTTTGGTTATATATGCAGTGTTTTATTTCTTAAAAAAATGATCTGAAGAAAATATGTCCAAAAATATATTGTATTAAGTTATAGTGGTGGCTATAACAGTGTTGTTTTATTATTCTCTATAGTTTTCTATATAGTTCTTAATATTTTAAGATAGAATAGTTCATAATAAACTTCAAGAGAACAAAAAAGAATAGTTCAGTTTTTCATTGTCTTGCTGATTTAATTTTGTACGTGTCTCTTCTGCCCTGTTCTTTGTTCTGTAAAACAGAGAACCAGCTGACACAATGCTTTGCGAAGTGCTAGAAAGCTGATAGGTACATGCCTGCAGCTAGGAGCCCCCCCTGGTCCCTACTGTCCTGACACTTTCCCCGTTGCTGCTGCAGCTGGGGGATGACTCTGGCTGTTTTTGAAATAAATAATCTTAAAACAAATTGATTCCCTTGAACAAATATAGGACATACTTCTCTAACAAGCAGTTGTTATATTTACAAAATTTAATTGTGCAGATAAAAGCAGTATACTTAATGTTTTGGTTTTTTAGTTTATTTATATGGTTGTTATTACGCTTGTATATTATAGACATTAGCCTTTTATAATTAAACTAAGGAAAGTATTCACATGCCAAACTGTTCATTTTTAAAATCTGTGCTCACATAGGAGTGAAAAATTCAGATCTAATAGATTTTGGATTGCAAATAATAACTTGAAATGAGGAAGCTTTTCAGTTCACATAAATTTTATATATTTTAGTTTTCCTGAGGATTCTCTGCATTTCTTACTCCTTTTTACACAGATCTTATTACTAGATGAACCAACAGCTGGAATGGACCCCTGTTCTCGTCATATTGTTTGGAATCTTCTAAAATACAGAAAATCTAATCGGGTGACAGTGTTTAGTACTCATTTCATGGATGAAGCTGATATTCTTGCTGGTGAGATTTGTACTTTAATTTTGAAGGATAAGGTCATCAGGCCAAATGGGAGATTGGACATAAGAGATGCTGAATCCTGAGGAATAAAGAAGCTGATGTTTTTAACAAAAAAGGTTTTAAAATGTTTTAAAATTACGTATTTTTGTATTGTGGAGGCCCTCAGACTACTCAAAGTTCCATCATTGCTAGGAGAACTCATAGGACTCAGCATAGTCACACTCATGGATATCAGTTTTTACTGTGAAACTGACAAGTACAGAGCAAAGTAAGCAAAGGGAAAAGGCACATAAGACAAAGTTTGGAGGAAACCAGACACAAGCTTCCAAGAATCCTCTCCCAGTGGAACCACGCTGGATGTGCTTCATTTCTCCAGCAATGAATTATTAATACACATGTGAAATGTTGTCTACTAGGGAAGCTCATTAGAGACGCAGTGCCCAGGGTTTTCATTCGGCACTGGTCATATAGGCACCCTCTGCCTAACATATACCAAAATTTCAGACTCCCAGACAAAACAAAGTAAGTATAATCTAAATTGTTTGTACAGTTTAAGTACATTGAGCCACCCTTATCTGTTCTAGGAATGGTGACCCTTATCTGTTCTAGGAATGGTGAGAACACTCTTAAAATCTAGGTTTCTAGACACTTGTCAAGGGTCATCCTTGTAAGCAGGCCTTTCTGAGATTAATAGTCTCAGGCCCGCTGTGTTAACTGTTCTCTGCACAATTCTAAACATAGACACATGTATAAAAAATTCAGGTCTAAGTCAACACATGAGTTTTAATAACTGTGACAAGATCTAAGAGTTTGAAATTCTAGAGTAACTTTCTGTTTTATAATCTAAATAAATTGGGCATGTCTGTCATTTTTTTCAGTATCTGTTTAAAAAAACAACAAACATTTTATTTTTGTTACTTTTTATCTTTGGTTATAAAGGAAATGGTGAAAGTGCTTGTGTTAGTAAGTCTTTTAGGAAAAGTCTGAGGTATTTGGAGCAATATTAGGAAAGTAGACTCTAGAGTTATTCTGCCTGGGTATAATTCCTGGCTTTGTCATTTTATAGCTATATGACAAGTGGGCAACCTGTATATTTTGTCATTGCTTCGCTGTTGTCATCTGAAATACAGGTGATGATAATCTAGTGCCTTCCTATCAGGATGTTGTGATAATTCAGTGAGCTAATACATTGGTGTCTCATATGGTAATCCATAAAATATAAATGCCAGTTATTAATGCTGTTACTAACTTAAAAATTGAAATGTAAATCTCTGTTTGCAGATAGGAAAGCTGTCATATCACAAGGAATATTGAAATGTGTTGGTTCTTCATTGTTTCTCAAAAGTAAATGGGGGATTGGCTACCGCCTGAGGTATCAATTCTTTCTTTATTGGCTTTATTCTTTTTTATGTTCATGATCTGCTGTTGTTATATTTATGGCTTGCCATCATGCGCTTTGACCATAATCATGGCACTCACTTTAACTTAAAGTATTCAGAATTTACTTTTGGTTGTTTACCGAATAATCATAAAAAATTATGATTTTTGGTTTTCTTTAGCATGTACATAGACAGATACTGTGCCACAGAATCTCTGTCTTCTCTGGTTAAACAACATATACCTGGAGCTACTTTATTACAACAGAATGACCAACAGCTTGTGTATAGCTTGCCTTTCAAGGACATGGACAAATTTTCAGGTATTACTTACTTTCAGTTTCTTGGCTGTTGAATCAGGATCTTGCATTGGGAGTAGGTTTTCTTGATTTACGTTGTTTACTTTTCTGCGTGTTGTTTACATGCTCCCAGGTGGCCAATTAATATTCTATTTTTGCTTTGTTTTGCTTTAGACAGTCAGAAATGCTGCAGGCTAACATATTTCTTTTTTTTATAAACAGCATGCAAGAAACTAATTAATGTGTTAAGTAAATAATTGTGTTTGCTTTGTTGTCAGGAAAGAAGAAATTGCTCCATTCCCTTGTAGGCCTCCTGAGAATAAGATTTGTTTTATGTGTGTGTGTGTGTTTATATGTATATGTGTATATATATGTATATGTGTATATATACATACATACACATATCTATAATAGTTTATAACAGTTCTCCAGTTTCATGATTCTGTAATGAATTACATGATTACATGGTAAACCCTTGAGTTATTTTAATTGTGGCATTAGTTTTCTGCTTTATAATGAGGAACTCAAACTCAGTCTCATTTATCTGTTTAGGGATCTTTTAATAACCAGAAGGATATTACTGATGTATGTATGTTGTACAGAGTTCCCATAGCATTTATCTCAATTAGAAAATTTTTGTTAATTATTTATGATAAATATAAAGGAATCAATCATCACCTGGATTGAAGTGCTTATGCCAACTTAATGTACTCTACCTATCATTCTGCCTGTAAAATTTCTTAATTTATAATATGAAAAATATCTAATAGATATTTTTCTATAAAGAAATATTCCTTGGGGTCCTTAGCAATTTATAAGACTGTTAAAAGGGTCCTGGAACAAAAAAGTTTGAGAACCACTGTGCTAGCAGAACAAATTTAGTCATATCATATTTTTAAAGGATATTTTAGAATAATTCATAATAGTATACTTAACTATAAACATGCTTTCATATTTTTCTTTCAGGTTTATTTTCTGCTCTAGACATTCATTCAAATTTGGGTGTTATTTCTTATGGTGTTTCCATGACAACTTTGGAAGATGTATTCTTAAAGCTAGAAGTTGAAGCAGAAATTGACCAAGCAGGTAAAAACAAAACTACCAAAACATTTTAGGCAATGAACCTGAAAGATGGTGATTAAGACAAATAATTATATAAGCATGTGACATATATTTTGGAGAAGAAATGGCTGAAATAAAAAGGTAACTAAGTAATTGAGATATTTACTCATAGCGATAGGAATTATGAAGGAAATAATTGGGTGGTCTTGGGAGGCAGATAACTCAGATTATATCTTCAAGGACTCTATTGAGATTATATTTAAACTGAGACCTGGATGGCAAGAACAATCTGAGGTGAAGATTTTATTGCAGAGCTTTCCAGAGAAAGCGAACTGCTACTGCAAAGGTGTTAATTAATTGAGGAACGAGTTGGATATCTGTGATGATAAAAAAAAGGCCACCATGGTTGGAGCTTAGTGAGCCAAGGAGAAGGTAGTACAGAGTGAGGTTAGAGGGGTGAGTAAAGGGCCAGATCATGTTTCATCTCTGAATAACTGGAAAAGAATTTTTTTTTTTTTTTAGTACAGTGTGAAGCTATTAGGAGTTTTAAAGCAAAGGAGTAACATTTGATTTACATTTTAAAAATATCCATTCCAGTTATTGAATGATGAGTGGATTGTAAAGGAAGTGTGGCTGTTTTGGATAGGGTGCTAGTTAGGAATATTCTTGTACACATGTTTTGGTGAACATACATACGTATCTCTGTTGGGTTTATACCTAATAGAGAATTTCCTGGGTGGTAAGTAAGCTATGCGTATGTTTGGTTTTAATAATGTTGCCAAAGTATTTGAGAGTTCCATTTGCCTTACGTCACTGCCAGATGTGTGCCTTTTAAAAATTTACCTGCATCAGAACAGTTTTCATCTTTTTAAGAAATATACCATAATTTTATTATACCATAATTCTATTATTTTTTCACAAATAGATTATAGTGTATTTACTCAGCAGCCACTAGAGGAAGAAATGGATTCCAAATCTTTTGATGAAATGGAGCAGAGCTTACTCGTTCTTTCCGAAAGTAAGGCTTCTCTGATGAGCACCAGGAGCCTTTGGAAACAGCAGGTGTATACAACAGCAAAGTTTCACTTCCTCACCCTGAAACGCGAAAGTAAATCAGTGAGATCAGTGTAAGTGT